TGAATTCTGATTATAACAATGAGTTGAAAATTTTTTTACCTAATTTACTGGCACCTTTTTCTTGTCAATACTCCAAGCTGAGGTAATAAACATGACAATACATTTATGTCATCTGGAAGCAAAATATGCACACTAATTAATAGTTTGGCACATTGAGATAATACATCATGACAGAAAATACAAGTTAAAGATATGTATGACCATCACATGGTAATTAAAATTAAAAAAAAATTAATAGGGGCTGTGGAGTATGGAAAGTTCAAGACAAAGAAAAAGACAAATGTTCATAGCTCATGAACTCTCAATTTTGCCTCCATTGCTTTGTGAAGGCCAATATATTTCGAGTGGCTGAATTGGTTTACCTTTATGATAGCAACGATTTTGTATTTAATATAGCGAGATTATTTCAATTTAATTGAAGTGATATAATCTCCCAAAGCAATGCTTGAATCGTCTAGAATAGATCAGTGGTGTCAAACTTATGGGTTTTCGAGAGCCGCATTGCATTTTGAAAATTGTGAAAAGAGCCGCAAACAGTTTTTGATAATGTATAATTAAAAGATATTTTTAAGATAGTTTTAGTTTGTGACATATATTGTGATGCAACTAAACAGTTGGATTAAGTTTTATTATTTTCTTCAATTTCAAATGCAATTACATATTAATATTTGCATTCCACTATTATTGCAACATTTGCAAGTTACAGTATTTATTATAAAAAATCGTAAAATTCTATGTACAACCATCAAAATCATTTTTGAACAAGCTTTGAATAAGGAAAGAATAATACATACACTAAAAATAACTTAATCTAAATATATGAACCTAAAATTAACAAAAATACTACAGTATAAACTCAATGTTTTAATAATTACATTTGTCCTGGCGTTTGGCATCTTTTTTGTGTCACCAGCATACTAAGGCCAGTCTGAAATGAATTTATAGTACCAACTCTAACTAACGAGGCCACGTGATCATGGGTTTATCTGGGTCTTTACGAATGTTTAATTAATTTCAGTAATGCAAAAAAGTTACTTTTATCATTTCATGTATAGATCAGTAAAAAAACAAATGACAGATTTTTTTGACAAGACATTTCGCACTACATTGCGTGGCATAGGATTGCTTGAATTATTATTGATATTGATTTTTAGTAACTAAGTCGTTGTATAATTATATTAATATACAAACACATGGGAATTTTCTGTTCGAAGTTGGTCTTCGAATTTGTCATATTGACTGCTGAGCTTATTGTGTTTTTTGATTGTATTGATGGAAATATGACAAATAAAACAATGTGCTTCAGAATTTTGTGAAGAGCAGAAATGTTACAACTCCCATTTTCTTCGAACCTTCGTACCTTCTTCATGTACATTGCGTTTAATTTAATTACTCAAGTGTTTTATTCAAGTATTCTTTTGCTAGCTTGATGTGTATTCTTAATTGGGTCAAAATGTGGACAGAAAAAATCAATATTCCAAAACTACTTTCAGTAAATTGTTTTCTGTGTGAATAATCAATTTCACTTCAGAAGGTTTGAAAAATCTATTACATTTATATAAAAAAAAAAACTTCCAAAATACTATTACAATTATTGTTAATCAAGGGCCGCACTGGAAGTTCTCTGGGGCCGCGAGTTTGAGATGCCTGGTCTAGATTGAAGTTGTTCAAAAAATATATGATAGTATTTTATCATGAATGATGATTATACCCCTTCCGGAATTTCTTCTATAGTACTACCAAAAGTTGATGAACCAAATATAACACAGGTGCAGTGAGGTACCCGTAATCCTCATTTCCAAAGCTGTTTTAAGTATGTCTGGCGTGTTTTGTGCCTTTTTACAAATAAGACCGCTTAAGCAATCTTACGCTTTGGAATTTTTAGTTATTTTCCTCAAGCCCTGCAGGATGTGGGGGCCATACACAACTCTACCGGAGGGTCAAATGTCTTTGCATGCCTCCATAGGTTGTTTTTCTATTGCAAATTTCTATTTTCAATTGCATTATATTTCTTGGAATCACACTGTCACTGATATGTCGCCAGACTTCTGATATCTCCCCGTCTGCTATAGTTGTCCTGTGAATAAATAATAGGAAATTGAGATTAGACGAATAGTTGAAAGTTTTGCTTTATGTCGGCTTAATTTCTTGATTGATATACTATTTCTGCTATTGCCTCTTGTGCTGCAAGAGTCTCACAATGCTTAGACAGGTTTGTCCACAACTTTCACATCTGAAGAAAGAGAGGAGATTTATTAATTTTCGTTAAGAATAAATAAAGCAGTCTATATGATTCAGAATGGAAAAGCTAATAAATCCAATATCTCATGTTTTATTTAAAAAATATTTTACTGAATTTGGTATATAAACCAACTAATAAAAGGGTTTAGTCAGAAAATTACAAGCATTCGTGGCTCCAAATACTTGAGAAATCAGACTATACAATCAATATAGATGAGTGAAATGTTAGGTGAACTTGTTAACACTTTGATTCAATACGCAAATAAAAGTGAATGCGTAATAGTATGTTACAATGAGCAGCAATCAACAATGAGTATATATCCTCACTGATTAAAAAAATCTAACTGGAGGTGCATGAACTATTTGAAACCATAAGGGGTAAGTAAATATGTAATTTCGGCAAATGGGCAACTACGTACCGTACTGAATTAGTAACTTCGTAGTATTTGACAAAGGCTGGCTTTCCCACATGTACTTAACAGTGCGATGCCCGGGTGTGATATACAACAATAGTATTCACCTTACCTTTTACCGATTTCTTTTTACCCCAACTTTCAAAAATATCATTAAAATCGACAAGAACTGTCAAAGCAGGCACGAACACCATTCGTGCTACGCCTTGAAAGCAGCACACATCCGCTCGTTTTCGTCTCGTCAAGTATGTGCATTGGAGCGTGCTATCGAATACGATCTTCGGACAAAAATGCCGGAGTTGCGCATCATGTTGTTTAATGTCATTGGGTAAACCGTACTGTACTGCGAACAGACGTGTCCATATATTTGGGCGTAGCTCTCTTGTTTACTCTAAATTATGGAATGTTACTTCCAGGTTATCTTATCCTTGCTTATAGATATCTCCATGTTAGTGACTCCAGCTGACCCATGCATGCCACATTGAAAATTCTCTTGTGTACCGATAAAATTAAGCAGTTGGAGCCTTTAGACCTTGAAAACAGTCGAATCTGAGCACGATGTATTCATGTGAAACACGTAATATGCATTTATAAGCAGAAATATCCCATCTTGAGCAGCACCGATTCACAACCTCCTGCCTATGGAATCAAAACATTAGACAAATTGGTGTACTGTGCGCATTCACAAATCTTTGCGAATCAAGTGTGCCTTTTGACTGAGGAAAATTTAGCATTGAAATGGTCAATCTCAATATAAACCTAGTATCTGCAGATAAAAACCAATTGTTTTTTAAAAATGCACTTTTGATGTGCTTTATTTTTCAAGTATAATTTATGATTGCTGTAAAGTGTGTGATACATTTGGTACCATGGATACCATATGCAAATTAGCATGGGTTACACCCCTCTCGAATAAAAGTTTAGACTCTTAAGTCATATTTCATAATATTCTTTAAACAAAAGGTTGCGGCTAGCCGGCTACCCATCAGAATTTTTCTTTCAGATCACAAATTCGCAATATTACGCTTCACTAAGTTTCATTTGCAACTGTATTTCGTTGTAGTATCGGTGTCCAACTTTAGACTGAAACCTTCACTACCAGACCCACCGAAACAAAAAAAATTTTCTTGATCGGGTCGTATTGAAGTTGCTTTCGTTCAAGCACAATGGACATTTATCTCCACCAATCCACAGTAATCACAAGTTATTTGTCATTACGATAAGCATCAATAAATGGATACTGAGGATGTATCATCAAGTCACGCAAGCTGAGGTCTTGTGCCACTGTGGTCTTGTTGCAACTCATACTTTGCCATCCATCTATTCCATGGTCGCACACATATCTGTAAGATAATGGATACAGATTCATTCGATATCATGATCCTGCACTAGCTTTGTAATAATTGTAGAGTTTTCATAAAATCTAACGATCAAGTGGTGTGAAATTTATGTCCATATCCCACCACAAACACTAGTCGTAAATGAATTTGATTCCGGGTAGCATATATTTTTTTGCCAATGACAATAAAAAGACATTTTGGGTCAGTTGTACAAGCACCTTTAGGAAAGGAGGGGGGATGGTTGGGCTCGTACGACAGTCCACAGTCTCTCGTACGATTACCATTCTATGTTGAGATTAGTTAGTCAGATATTTTTGTTTGTTTTCAGAAGCATGGACTTGGATGGTGGGGGATGGTCGTAACCGATCAGTGGTCGTGAAGCTGCAATCCTCTCGCACATAACTATCCCCGCATGGGATTGGAACCTGTGAAACTACCAGGGTGATCAGAGATGCAGTGGCGAGCGTATTCTTAGATGGCAAGTAGCCTAGGCCTACCAATAACAGTAGTTTGTCATCTGCTTTCCATTGAAATGAAGAAGCTTATGAATATTTTAAAAAAATTGATAACGGCACATTATCACTCACCATCAACAAAGTGCTGTCCGCAAACAGTGAAACACAAGCGAGATGACTTCTGGACTTGACACCAAGCAGTCCTGCCAATAGATGATATCCACATTGCGCGACGTTCCGGATCTTTTGAAAACAGTGGAATATAACTAAAGATTCATTTCCTTGTCTATATACTATACGTACAGCCAACGGAACAATACGAAATAACCATTTTCAACAGTCAAACAAAAACGGAAACGTATAATCCGACTTGCAACTGACAGGAGCCAAATGGACGTTTTTGTTTTTTTGCCGTCCAGTAAACAAAGTCACGTGACCCGTGCAAGTCCTCTCAGTGATCGAAACGAGGAAAAAAATATGCCTTGTCATCGTTGCGTAAGGGTGTTGCATCAGCTGACGCGTGCCGGGAATATATTCCTTCAGTCACTGGTGATAGTCGAGTCATTGTTTTGTTTTCGGTATAGCTCACTTGTTTTTGAATTGAACTCTTTGACTATGGGAGCGATTGGACTCGCATACGGGTTCATAAACATGTTGATTGTTTTCCAATGTACCGTTCTTTCATTTACTTATAATCATAAATAAGTTACGGTACTAGTAACTACTTAAGGAAGGAATTTGTGAAGCTAGAGATTGGAAGAGAGGGTCCCGTACCGGTACCGTACCGTAATTCCTTAATTACTGGATCGCTCGAGTAATTCAGTAATCATTAGAAACAACCGGCATCGCTTCAATTCTGTAATAATCACTTACTGACTTAGCGGACAGTTTGACAGTGGTGACACAATTATTCAGTACAGCAGCAGCAGTTGCTGTTTTTGTTAGATTGCTTTCAAAGTACTGCCCGATTGTAAATCGCGTTTTTCTGTGTTTGTTTTATTTTCTTTTGGTGGGCGGGCACGTACATGTACGCTTTTTAACTTTTTTTAAGTTAGGCCTATCCCGTCACCCAGGTATCTCTGTATTTTGTTTGTCTGTTAACTTTTTGTATTGTTTATGTCAGAGAACCAAAATAAATGATTGATTGACTTGATTGAACAGGGACGTAAGACGGTGTAAATAAGTATGGCTGCCACTAATCAACCATATGCAGTTGATTTTTCATGGAAAGGATGTCAAGAATTTCCTGATTTTACAGTCACATGTCCGAGATGTTCTTCAGTTGAATCAGACTCACAAAAAAATGAGAAAAGCAAAACCTCATTTTGTAGATGGAATTCTTCGTCTATTACCTCTGTCACATCATTGGATATTTCACATAATTTGATACATAGGATTGACCCTTCTCGATTTGTGGGACTCGCAAATCTTAAAGAGTTGAATTTGAGTAGTAATAGATTGAGACAGCTTCCAGAGGAAATATGCTTTCTGACAAACCTGAGTGAGTTGTACGCGACGAATAATGCTTTGGGTACTCTGCCGAAGAATGTGAAATATCTTAAAAAATTGGTGCATTTGAATTTAAGTGGTAACGCATTTAATGACATCCCTCCATCGAGTCTTGAAATATATTCTCTCAAAATTTTGCAACTTGGCGGAAACAACATTAAAGAAGTTCCTGCATCTATTACTAACTTACAAAGTCTAGAAGTTCTGTACTTGGGAGGAAACCATATTCAAAATATTCCTGCTGAAGTGGGTGAAATGAAAAGTCTTTCGAGTTTGACGTTGTGTGATAATAAATTATCTTCGATACCTACAGAACTTGTGAAATTACGAAATCTTCAGTCGTTGAGTTTGCACAACAATCGTCTCACTTATCTTCCACGTGAAATATTACAACTCGTTAATCTTGTGGAATTGAGTCTTCGTGGAAACCCGATGGTTATGAGATTCGTACAAGAGTTATCATGTGATCCTCCTTCGCTCGTAGAACTCGCTAGTAGAACAATTAAAGCCTTCAAGCTTGATTATATTGATTTGCCAAAAACACTTGTGAACCACCTTAATTCTGCCAAGAAATGCCCGAATCCTCAATGTTCCGGAGTTTATTTTAATCAAAAATATCACCAGATTAAATTTGTGGATTTTTGTGGAAAATATCGTCTCCCTCTCATGCAATATCTCTGTTCACCAGAATGCATCTCGTATTCATCATGTTCTTCAACAGCTAGTTCAGAAACAGAAAGTGAAGAAGAATTAGAGAACGGGGAAAGAATGAGAAGAGTCCTGCTTGGATGAACTCTATCTTGTTCTTCTCAAAACATAAAAACTGTTTGGAAATCAAAATGTACTCTGCTCTTTTATTACATTGTCTGCATCAAGTATTATTGGGTCATTGCTTAGTGAAATTGGTTTCAACTGAAAATTAATTCTACTCAATTTAACTTGAATCCATACAATTAAAATTTTTTATTTAGGAAAATATTTGATAAACTTATGAGTGTATTTTTATGTCATTATTGATTGTATATTTTGCTTTAAATGTTTCATCATGTAACTTTTATTCGTTTGTTGCTTATTTCTGGACAAATGCTCCTTTGTATAACTACCTAATTATTCATTAGAAATCTATTGTTCAATCCTTAGGAGGTTCGTTAGTCTGATTGTTTAAGTTCATTATACAGTGTTCTATTAGTACACAAAATTGAATCGAATCACTACCTCTTCTTATTACTAGTATGTAGAAATATTTGGAATGAATATGGTGAATTGATATTTCATGTGGAAGGTTATTCCAGGTGTCAGAAAAGTTTGAGAGATGTGTCACTGTTAATATTTAATAAAAAATAATACCTCTTGACGCTAACTATTTTTGACTGTTTCCGACCCTAAGAGAGTGCCAAAAAATTTTAAAAATAATTCTTTTCACTATGATTAAGGTGTGTAGTTAATGTTGGAATCTATTTTTTTTTAATATGGGTCTTTGTAGTTTGTACTAGCATTGTCATACGCTATTTGCATGAAACAATTAAGTTAGTCAGTACTTCAACTTAATTCATAATTTGGTGCAATGAAGCGAATCCTATTAAATTGATCGCAATATATTGAACTGTCTAAATGTAAATGAAATTCTACATTACGTTAAAGTATTGTTTGTTTTTGGCTTGCATTTAATAATCTATTTAATTCTATTGTGAACTAATACGTGTTTGTTTTTGAATCTGTATTAGATTTCTTTAGTTTAGCATCTCATTAATATCAATATGATTTATAAGTTTTTGTTTGTTGCTGCATTTGTGGCATTGGCATCTGCATCGCATTTATTAATTTATTTAATTCTATTGTGAACTAATACGTGTTTGTTTTTGAATCTGTATTAGATTTCTTTAGTTTAGCATCTCATTAATATCAATATGATTTATAAGTTTTTGTATGTTGCTGCATTTGTGGCATTGGCATCTGCATCATCATGTGATCTACCTTCAAGATTCTGGTGTGACTCTAAAAAGATTGCAAGCGAATGTGGCGTAAGTTTTTATGTTGAATTATTCGATTGTACAATTATAACAAAGAATGGCTTCAATCTGAAAAATTCAACGACTTTACTCAGCCTGTGAATGGATATAATATCTGTAGATTTAATAAAAGTAAGTCACTGAAAATTACATTCTTTTAAAACTAGGAAATAATGATTAATTGAAATGGTTGGCGAAGTGTTTGGAACTGCTGCTATGTGTAGTATGTTCAAAATTGACTGCGACAACTTGGTAATTTTATTTTCCTAGGTTGAATTGCAATGTGCAGAGCGACACTGGATCGAGGATAATGACGCCCAACCTGTCATGCTTGATTTGTACTTTGAATCTCTTTGTCCAGGTAAAAACGTGACTCATGACAATCTACCATTGAGAGCCATAGTTTGTATAAATACTGACACACTGGAGTTGTAGCCAAAGCCATTGTACTTTCAAACCAGCTCCCTAGCTCTGCTTTTTAATATTTAGGTATGATTTGATTATCATATTGTTCATCACATATATAGGAAAGATAGACATGAAGAAATTCTGTGTTGTATATTTATGCAAAACGAACTTTGTTAAATTAAAATACTTGAAGAATAATATATTTTATTTTGTCGCAAAACAATGTTACTACATACTAGGTTGCCGTCAGTTCATCACAAAAATGCTGTACCCTACTTGGAAACAATTTCTTGATACAAAGATACTTAAAATACAACTGTACTCTTACGGAAACGCGAAAGTAAGTCCTATTTTTAAATGCTTTCAGATTGTAAAAGGTTTATGGTGAATATGCTTTACCCAACTTGGAAAAAATTTTCTGGAACGAATATTATGAAACTTACATCCTATCCTTTCGGCAATGCCGATGTGAGTAGAGCATGTTGTATGACGATGTAATCCTCAAAACTTTATTCAATGATCTATTATTGTGATAGGTTAGTTTCAGACTGCATGGCTATTTTTGTTGTATTTATGTTGTTTAAATGATCTTGTCCAGTAATTTCTCTCTAATTTCTGTAATTTTGTTGTTTTTTCCTCTGGTTTTCCTCTGGTTGTTGGTTCCTCTGGCTCTTATTTTGTTTTCCTTGCTTCTGTCCCGTCTCTCACCAATGATCAGTTCTATCTTCCATCATTCTCGCTAGAAATTAATGATTGTACAAGTAACAAACAGCTCAGTGTGCTTATAGTTTAGATTGGATGTGTTACCCTGATGTTTTTAATTAATCGAATGTTTTTCAAAATTGCGTGTATACTCGTGATTGTGTGAGATAATCATTAACATCTGTTGTTTAAAATAATTTTTAGCAAATATCCAGCAAAAACAACTTGCAAAGTATACATTACACATTGTAAATCAAATATAAAAATTTGAATTATAGTCAAATTTGATTTTTGGAATAATTGTCCGTTACTCTTGTTTTATTGTTATACATAAGTTTTGGTATCATTATTTCATAGTTAAACAATCAATGCGAGCGAGAAAATTTGCTCGAGCAAAGCAATCGCGCAAAAGTAAGACTGGAGACTGAACTACATTTTTGAGTATTCAAATGCACACATATTAATGTTACACACTGCCATATTGTAGCATGAATTAACCATAATTTTCATTTAATAGCCTATTTATTACAATAGTTCAATTAAATTTGTAATCCGTTAGGTTTAATAATATGGACTTCTATACCCATTTTATAAAAAATGCAATTTCTTATTTTAGGAAATGAAAAATGCATCAACAGGTATGTGGGACTTCACTTGTCAACATGGACCTCAAGAATGTGTTGGAAATTTAATCGAGGTTTGTAATTCAATTAAAAATCACATTTAGACCATGATGCATTTAATAAAGTATAGTGTTATAATCTGTAAAAAAATAGCATATTAAATTGCAAACAAATTGTAGTATAAAAGAGTATGATGTTTGTATTTTGTCACAAGACTTGCAGTCACATGATTTATCTGCAATACCAATATCTAAACAGTTTGCACAGACGCTGCATTTTAACATAATATCTATTTAAACAGTTTTCCAATTTTATCACTCATTTTGTTGTATTTTGATTTCTGATTACCGTCTTCTACAGAACATAAGGTTATAACCAGTGGTGGGATTCAAATTTTTTTTTGGCAGTGTTGGCAGCCAATATGCACCACCTGGGTTATACATTAGTCACACAATCAATTTCTGAAAAAAAAAAAATGATCTGAAGTGCGCCTCATGGTCTGTAAAAATAGGTATATGCAGCACGATAAATGCTTGTTTGGACATGTTTAGTGATGGTAGTGAATGATAGATCGATAGTACAAAGATCATGAACCATATTAGTTTTGGCATTTTTTGTCTTGTGACTGAAATATGCTTTGTCATGCAACAATATTGACATTAATGTTATTAGTGTATTGTAAAGATATTTTGTCTTTCACTCTTATTTCACCATATTTTATGAGAAATACCTTTTGATGTTATATAATTTGGGTAATATCATTGAGTTTTGTGATATATTTTTCAGAACTGCATTCAAAAATACACCATGAATGATCCTATGAAATATTTCCCGATATTTTACTGCATGGAATCGGCTCAAGATCCAGTTGAGGCTGCTAAAATGGTAAGAAATAATCGTGAGGATTATTTTTAGTCCACTAAGCAGTTTTTTCTCGGATTCATATAATATTCTTATATTTGCACACTTGTAGAGTGGTTATCAAGCCTACCATATTAGATGGAGCCGGAGATGGGTTTCGAACCAGTTCTCCTGCTCTGTTCAGCCTCTTTGTGATGGTTGTTATCTTATACGCCTTGGTTTACTCACACCTACGGTTTCATATAGATCTTATTGATAACAATAAGTTATAAACAGTTGTATGTATAGACTGATTTTTATTTCTATCCACTGCCCTGATGAAATTTGTCTGTATAAACATTGGAAACATTGGCGAAATCATATTGTTTGCTCCTTACTGGTTGTGCATGCATTACTATTTTCTAATCCTTTAAAATGGATGAGGTTACATCTTTATAGAAAGATAAACAAATTACACTTTTTATTTATGATATTTATATTTCGAATGCTGTCACCTTTACAGTTATTAAAGTAATTCAATGCATTCAATTTAGTGTGTAACCAAAGGTGGTTTGAAATGGTCTGATGTTGACACCTGTGCTAAAGGACCAGATGGGAATGCACTCATGCATAACAGTGCTATGGCGACTGATAAACTGAATCCTCGTCACACATATGTTCCTTGGGTTACTATCAATGGGGTGAGTGAATTATTTTTTTATCATATATTTTAGATATTATCTGAAAAAAGGATTTGAACATTTTATACTGGGGAGAGGAGAGAGATAAGACAGCTTAATCATATGACAAACCACGACTTCTCGTTCGGTTACCAGTCAATGTCGGATATTGGATTAGTTAGCAAGTTATTTTTTTCAGGGCATCGGACATGGACAGAAGGTGGAGTAAGCTGTAACCAACCAGCACTGCTCCACCCTATGACAGTAGGGAGTAATCCACTCTCACATAATTATCCTCCACAGAATTCGAATCTGCGAGCCCACGCAGGGTGAGCGTACTCCTAATGCTTAACAGTTAGCACAATGCTCCACACAGCAGAGCCAAAGTTTGACATTCATAAATGGAAGCTGGGGAGCTCAACAGAAACAGGGCTCCAGAGCTGGAGCTATTCTGTTCTCAAACCAGCTCTTGATGCGTAAGACAAGGAGTGCCTGGCAATGTCATTAGCAAATAGTGGCTCCATTGCTGGAGCATCTCTCCTATCTGTTGCATTAATCTATTGCTACAATGCACGGAATGTGTAGCTAGGATATTGACTCTAATATCTCGCAGCCATACAAGTTAAACCTTTGCATACTAATTCGTGGGGTTGAATTGAAAAACGAAGTATTTTTTTTTCAGCAACATACTGAATCAATGCAAGAGGAGGCTCAGGAAAATCTCCCAAAGCTTCTATGTGACACCTACAAGGTAACAGATTTTTTCAATATCTTTGTTGCTTGTTTTATATTCATGAAATGAATTTGAATTTTGTGTCAAATTTGCTAGAACTTGTTCACCACAGAGGGTGTCGGTCAGTCATCCGTTGGGCATTCTCTTATTTGTTTATCTTATTTTACGACATAATCTTGGGAGGATACAATATATATTGTTATACATTTCACTTGCACATTTCAGGGAATGAAGCCCAAGCAGTGCGCAGAGTACATGGAGCCACAACCACTGCTCGTGACATACAGGGATGATTAAAATTCATGTTTTCATATTGCTATGAATCATTCCTAATAATTCATTCTTCCACTTTTGATTTGTATTTTGATTTGCATTTTCCTGCCCTTGACATTATATTGCACAATCCCCTTTTCATGAAGCATTATTAATGGCTTGGTCTATCAATATTTTCCAGCAGTAGCAAAGTCTCAAAAACCCTGAACATTAGTTCATTCTAGTAAATTTCAGTCTTTATTATTATAGCCTATTCAAGCTATGCATGAGCTATTCACCATCTGTATAATTTTGCCTATAGTTTATTATGAGAAGTATGTTATGCTCAATAATTCCCGTAAGTTCCTTGATGTTTTCGTTTTGTATTTGCTGATCTTTGTTCCTTTGTGCAATACTTCAGTGTTACTTTACAGTCTACTGTTATTTCTCTTTTGCCTACATGTTATGCAGTCTGGAAGATCCACGTCAATCAATCGAACTTGTAGAAATATGCCAATGTGCAGCCAGTCTAAGTGAGCAGTGTCAAATTGATTATTTTTTGTGATTTTCATTACTTGATTCTGAATATCATTGAAACAAATAAAAATGCATAATAAAGAGAATGTTCTCTGATTCAGGAAAGGGTGTAATGTTACTAGGAGCGGCAATGCGGCATTAAAAAAATTCTGCCAAGAGGCATTAGCGTGAACCTACAGTAATGATAATATTTGGTCTCTCACATGCTTATTGAGCATGCAACAGATTATTGAGAGGATATACATGATAAAGCTCCTCTCCTGATGGGATTTTACATCTCATGCATGATGCATTTAATATTCATTAGTTGCATCCAGGTCACAAGACATAAAAAAAAATAGTATAAATATGCTCCATATACATTATACACTTACCATTGGCACTCTGAGTAGGACGTCGCCAAACATTGATTACTGCATTCAGTTGTTCCACTCTAGTCCCAAACCTTCATTAACATACCAATCAATGGTGTGAAACGCTCAAATCTAGAACTAAATCTGGCTTAACTTTCTCCACCGAAGACTACGGCTAAGTAAATGATCTAAATAGTTACCGGTAGTCTGTTATATCCAGCATCGCAGGGCAGTTTGTATGATTGGCTCGGCGGTATGCCGCATCGTGCTGTGCATTAGGGAAAACACTCGTCAATGCACCTCAGATCACCATGTGTGGGTTCGAATCCTACGGGAGTTAATTATGAACGAGATGATCGCTGGACTTCTCGCCGTTGTATATGTGATTTATTTAACTGCTGGTCGGTTACAGCCACACATCTGAAACAAACAGCTGTTCGCCATACGATTAGCAGTTCTTCTTATGATAAAATCTTTCCAATTTTGATTTGAAATCCTCTTTTCAGTCGATAAATATGACATTGGCCATATGGTCAGTAATACAATCAATTTGATTTCTTGCTGAACATGCTTGTCTGACGAAGTGTGGCCACGGCCAGACAAAACATTGCAGAAATACATTCGTGTTAGTGTACAGAAGGCAGCTTTATTCTTGCTTCAGGATCCTCGCATTATACGCATACGAATTGACTTGCATAGAGTAAGATATGGCAGCTAGTCTCACGTAACCCCAACTGGTAGAAAAAACACTGACTCAATAAATCTTTCCTTGATTGGAAGCGAAGATTGATCTTATTTTCATACCTTTACTCCACTCTTATTATTAAGCCTTGTCTGAAAAGTGGAAAAATCTGGACATAATTCGCACAACATAAGAATGCTTTTAAAAGAATATATTACGCATTAAAATCTTTTGAATGTTTACATCTACATAAATAGTTTAAAAAGTTTTGGGGAAGAATATTGATTTGCTAGCAGTAAATAAAATAAGCAAAAATAAAATTTACAAAGAAAATAATTCAACAGGTTTAGTACAAATATTGTCAATAATACCACCTTTCCGACCTTGATTTGTAAGTATATTTAGCGCCACGATTCGGTGGAGAATAAGGTTTACTATGATGTCTTTGCCTCTCATAGTTTGGATTTTGCCATCTGTATGGATTAGGCTGATAAATGGGTTGGCCATAGTGATCAACATGTGGATTATGATAATAATTATAACCATGGAATCCTTCTTGACCAGTAGATTGAGAATTAAAGTCTTGTCGACCATAGGGACGCTGCTGGTACTCGTAATCATAAGAGTTTGCCGGGTGGGGTGGGTCATACCACTGCTGCCCTAACCCTGTTGAACTGTTATCATAAAACCCAGAATCTGTTTGGTAATCATCATGATAAAATCTGTCTCTTGGATGTAAATTATCTCCATAGGGGTTTCCCTGCTGTGAATGTTTATTTTCTGATGACCGAGATGTCTCATTCTTCTGAGCTACATCGCTGGACGTGCCAAGCAGATCATCCAAGTATACTTGTCTTTCTATCTTGTAACCTCTTGCTTTTTCAAAAGCTTCGATTGCATCTTCTGGCTTGAAATTTTTTCTGTTTACCAAATGTCTGTAATAAAGATATTTTAACAATGTTATAGACTGGGAACATAAATAAAGGATTGCTGGATAGGAGTAGTCATTAGATCTTAGAGATATGGATTTTATTCTCCAATTCTGAACAGTCAAAATATAACCTTAACTTCCTGAATTTTGCTCGGCCACATGGCGATCATGCTTAGCGATGGGAATACACTCACCACTGCACGTAGGTTTGAACGGGCATAATTATACTGTAGGGTGGCTTGCATAACCGCTGGTTGGTTACAGCTTACTTCACCATCAAGTCAATGCATCTGCAACAAATAACTGGTCAACTAATTCGGACTTGTTGCCAGACGAGAGGCTGTAGTACGCCATATGATGAAGTTGTCTAATCTGATTTCATCTCTCCTGGATAAATATGTAAATTCTATCCTAATATGACATGAATCAAAAAATAAGTTTACCGAAATACAGTATCATTAATCTCAGCTATCTGAAACTTGAAAAACTATCTAAAAATTATATTTACTTCTTGAATTTGGTACAAATCACCTTCTTAAAAAAGGAGACATTTTTTTGCAAAAATTAGTTTACAAAACTAGAATATAACAGATGTCATCTATGTGAATTTCGAACATATAAGTGAATGCCATGTTAGAATACAGTAATGAAATATATTATTATTGATACTTAAGAAATCTACTAACCTGCAGATCATATACCCAGTTCTGTTCAATCCATGAGTGCAATGAACTGCGATCAACTTGTCATTATCCTGATTTTCATCTTCAAATTTAACAACAACATCAGAAAATGAGTCCAATACTTCTGATTGCGGTATTACTCTCCCAGGAACAAATATTTTTTTATATTGCACATTTTTTTCTTCAAATTCCTTTGGATCATAATACTTTGTGGTAAAGCTCAAGTCTATGACAAGTCCTAAATTATGACCTTTTGATTTCGCCATTTCTAACGCAGTATCACAACCAAACTTTTCGTTCTCACTGATGTTTCTTGACAAATGGGGTTTGAGAGGAACTTTCATACAAATGAAACGGGTACCAGGAATTCTTTCCCCCATTGGTGAGTAATCCATCCATCTATCTGGAGGGCCATTCTTAGGTGCCATAATAATATTGACTCCAAAGAATTATATTGTTAAAAATCAGAATCAGCTTTTTAGGTATTATAAAATGTACTATTTTAGCTGTTATAAAACACCAATAAAAATTTAGAAGGCCTATGATATAGTAATTCAGCATTTGATAAAAAAGCAGCGAACCAATGTATATCAATAGAAATAACAATAAACATTTGTAATCTTTAGATACTTATGTTATAATTCAGCTACTAAATCACTGATAGACCATTATCGAAGTCCAAGAATATTAACCTGAATTGAGTAAATTTATACAGTTTGAAAGATATTATAAGATAACACTCTCTATAATGAAAGTCACACATGTTTTTCAAAACAACTTCATAATAAAGTGCTACTTCCATAACTAAACCAATAAACAAAACTGAGCATGGCAACAATTCTTTTACGATGCAGAGATGGTTAAGGCCATGATTGTAATTTCCATATTTCATTGCATTTTTTTTGTGTTGAAAACATTTTCATTTCTTTCCCTCAACCATTATAATATGATATCCAAACTTAGTTTTAACTGGAGGATCGGTGTAGACAGGATTTCCCAATGAACTGACTTGTAAAGCAAAAGCAGCTTCTTGAAATGGTCCAACCATTGACCCTCTTGTCATCCATCCTAAGTCACCTCCAGAACGTGCTTTATCTTCACTCATTTGAGCAGCAACTTCATTAAATTTACTTCCCGCTTTCAACTTTTCCATTGCTTCCATTATTTTTGAATGTTTTTCACAAAGGATGTGTCTCACTTTTACTGCATTTCCTCCTTTCTTTTCTTTCCCTCCACCGCCTTCTGATTTATCTTTCTCTTTGTTAGCACCTTTGCCTTTCGCAGCTCCTCCACCCTTTTTTGGCATTTTACTAATTTCTGAATTTTGTTTTGAAATTGTAACAAAGTCTGGAAGTAGTTACCGGTACCCTATGTATGTATGTTTATGAATGAATTAAATACAATTGGATTGTATACAGTTCGTAACAATTAAATCAATACCGGTAATACTATATTCATATATTATTGAAATAGCGTGCAGTACATTGAGTACAACAATTACAGAATTATGGTACCGGTGTGAACGCAGTCAATTCAGCAACTGTATGTAAGAGTTCCTCAAATTACGGAATTACCGGAACGGAACGGAAGAATTCTCGCGTAAACGTAAATCTACCGGAACTGATTTGGAGTTATCTTGAAAAATGTATTTTATACACTTCTTTCCTATTTGCATTGAAATTAACGAGCATGTGGGAGGGGGACAGTGGCGAAAATAACGTTTTAGTGTTACGCCATCTAGCGAGTGTGAATCCAGCTTAATAGGATAGGATTTACATGTTCATCCCGGGGGAGAGAAATGCCGATAAGACGGCTTAACCATATGGCGAACCGGCCTCTCGTCCTGTTAACAGTCCAGGTCAGGTATGGGATTAGTTAGCCAGTCATTTGTTTTCGGAAGCATGGACTTGATGGTGGAGGAAGCCGTAACCGACCAGCGGTTACGTGAACCACCCTACGGCGGCGAGAAGTCCAGCAATCCTCTCGCACATGATCATCCCCCAAAATATTTTTCTCTCGAACGAGTGTTTGGGACGTAAATCTGTAAATATTTGTATAAGAGTTGTTGAAATATGGCACATTGCAAATTTACAAATAAGAAACACTTTCATTTTTCCATTGCTCTCTTTCTTCGTGAAGATGCAAGTAGCCGATCTTAGTCAACTTATCGAAATCGGCTCGGCGGTGTGGCGCATCGTGCTAAGCGTTAAGAATACACTTACACTCGCCGCCGTATCTCCAATTATCCTGCGTTGGATTACGTGAATTACGTGCACGGAATTCAAATTTCATCATCCATATCTGGTACTCTGAAATGCCTCTTTTGGTATATTCATTTTCATGTTATTGACTTACCTTATTAATGATGTATTTCAATGTAGATTGCTGAACTCTCCATTTCTCGGAAACTCATCCTATAGTTTGCTACCATACCATGTTGGAAGCATTGGAACGGATGCAATGATTTTAAATTGAACTAATCGAAAACGAAAAATAACCCGATGCCCCAATCCATGTTTGTGCATAGACTGTTATGAAACACTCAATCTATTTACAGCTTGTTTTTTAGTAACAATTTTTGTCACTGTGTTATTTTTGCAATAAAATTGAACCTGAACCATTTTACGTCAACGAGTGTTTTTTATTCGATATTTTTGTAGGAAAAGCATTGTTGTGATACACATACCATAGCCATGCATTCCATATCCTATCAAAGTGTATTTATTGAAGTGTAGATTCAGATTCAGATAATTTATTTTTATCATGCAAGAATCAAGGCAAACACAACACAAAAGTGTATAACGAAATTGGAAAAAAATGAAATATACACGTAAGAAATAATGTCAGAGATTCATTGCAATCGATAAGGGGTCGCGAAGGACTGTAACAGTCTTCGAGTCAGCGACACCTGTTGGCTGTGTGTTTATTAATTAGGACCCACCGAGTGTTTATGTTACACAAGTTTGACGCCCGAACGATACCCGTTCGTGTTTTTGTCTTTTTTTATTTTAAATATATGTTTGTGTGTTGAATATGGGTAAACTAGCGCATGTATATTTACATGTATTAAACCTTTATATAGGTTTTGTCAGTTTCCCCGATTTTACCAATCTTCTGTGTGTACATTGTTTGTGTTTTGTGTATGCTTTCTTTGCGGGAAAATCAAAATATAACATGACGAAATCAAGCAGCCCACGCTCATTGTCGTTCTGACAGGGCAGGTTTTTGGTATTTTGTGCAAACTTTAACTTTTGTGCAAAGCGTCTTAGATTTCTGAAATTTTTGGTTATAATCATGCACAAACAGAAATTTAAGCAGTCTATAGACAAATCTAAATAATTCACTCCGTTTTCGTAGAAGTAATTGAGAAATTTATGAGTTCCATATTTTGGGGTCACCCTGTATAAGCCAAAATGTATGTACAAATCATACAACGTACGACTCTATTAGTCTCTGGGAAGTTTTAGTATAATAAGGACATAGCGGCCAAAACTTGAGTGTACCAGAGTACTAGACTGAAGTTATGTGCCAGCAAATTGAAACAAAAAGCATAACGATTTTTGCAGTGATGTTGGTGAAGTATGGATATAATTTCACTGCTGTCAAAGGTTGGGGAAACATTAAGCCGTGAAGTTTTCGTTATAGCGATTTTAATTTATACTTATATATGAATTTGCCCGTCACGCATGACTGCATTGTTGTGCATATTCCACAGGTTTCGTTTAATTTTGAAGACCGGCTCAAGTTGGTGTTTGAATGTATCGGTATGTCTACTTACATCAATTATGTAACCAAGATGAATCTTAAACAAAGAAATATTGTTGTTGGCCTAGTAACCATGGTTCATCCTTACGTGTGGAATCCCAGGAACTGGTATCGGTAGGCTACGCTACTGTAGAACATTTTAAACCAAGACTTACCTACTGTACAGAAAGGAGCTTGTTAGGAATTTCCGGTTCTTCATACTGGGTACGATATCTATATGCTCATGCAGCCATTTAAGGTTAGGTACCTGAATACTTTACTAAAAAGTAAGAACTATTTCCAGATATATGGACATGCAAAGTGGCTTCGCTCCTGTGGTTAATGTAAAAAAAGTGTCATACACATTCATGATGATTTTGCTTCATGCGTTGTCTGATGAAAATGATCTGTAAATCAGTAAACCGTTTTACACATGACATTTATGTATCAAATATGTCAATTTTTTTTATATCTTTCGACTAATATCAGAATGCCACAAAAATGTAAAAGTCTCTCTTGGCCCACTTCTCACACATTTGCCCCATGCTTGGTAAAAGTGCGACACTTGTGTGGGGAAACTTGTGATTGCCGTACAAGTAGCAGAAGATCTACAGGTGATTCATCAGTGGTACAAGTGGTCTGATAACTCGACTAAAGGGAAGTGTGTAATATCAATTGTATGTTGGAATTTGATGTGCCCAAAAAACAAACTGTAAACTAATATATATATATATATGACAATAATTTAACATATATTTTCATATTCAAACAAAATTTTACTTTTGTTATTATTATGATGTGCACAGCATCTGGAAAGGTCACTTGATAAATTGACCATACGAAAAAGTTCAACTGATAAGTTATGACCCCATGTTCTAGCTAGTGTATAATTTATCATAATCAAAAATAGTCTTATTTTTTTATTATGATGTAGAAAACGATCAAAATGAGTGACCACCAGCTGTACAATAGAATTCATTTACGTTGAGGATATTATCAAGCAATCGATTAAGGTAATGTCTTCGCCACTGAGTTCACGGATATTATTTTATGTTACAACAATGACCACGAAATTTCAACTTTACTCTAATCGCAATTACTGCGAATAAGATATCAGTCTGATCATTCATTTGAAATATATTCAGCCAACATCCTTATTCTATGGTGAAGCGCTGTCTTCTGTTCCGGTTACCACTTCATGTTAGATAAGTCGTCAACCAGTTAATTGTTGTTTATGCGGATAGGTTAAGTTTATTCATAATTATTCTCCTGTATTTAACAGCCACATCTGCTCGATGTTTACCGACGATATGCCAGTAATCCAAGACCAGGTGAAAACTTAATATACCTAATTACATTTTATTTCATAATGTTTATTTTCAAAATCTCTAATTTGTACAGTTTCCGTGGTATCAATGATTTGTTTAACTGGTTTTACTTTCTTTAACGTTTCTTTATATATATATAATTATATGCGGGGGGATTGATATACTCCTCTCCGTCGTAGGGTGGTTCTCGTAAGCGCTATTGGTTCCGGCCTTCTCCGCCGTTATGTCCATGCATCTGAAACAAAAAACTGTCCAACTTATCCCAAACCCGACATGGACTGGTAACAGGATTAGAATCCGTGTTTCGCCATCTTATCGGCGCCCACTCTCCCGAATGGGAAGGAGGAATTCGAAATTTAGACTTCAAGCCCCGAAAAAACTTGAAATTACGACTCTCGCACCAACATTGATAAAAAAAAGTTCACACTTTTTTATAAATATAGTCGATTAATTTCTTAGTGATTGCAGTCACCAGAGGCGGTATAGTATTACACGAAAACGTCAGCTTTCAGCATGCTTGGCTTGATTGGAATAATTAGGACATTAGGTTATTCCTTGAAGAGTTAATAAATCAGCATTTTCAGTTTTACCATAGTCAGATATTAGAGCAATCTTATAAAAATTGTCATTGCGATTCAGCAATGCTTCCATAACAGATGACGTACTTACACTAAGAATAAAACCATTTATCAATTCAATTCTTCAAAGACGCGCTTACGTCGACCACGGCTTACGACCGGAATTACGCAGACGTCCCGAAATAAAGACGCAGACTGTGTAATTGATTGAATACTATTTTTGGTTAAGCCAATAATATTCAATAATGAAGTTTTGGATGATCAGTCGTAAGACACTTTTTTTCAAGTTTTCTGACTTTATTTGGTCGTATACACATCATAGCCCCATAAACTTGATTATATTGGAATTGTTGTTAGAAAGCGTCCGCCCTTTGTCCATGCTTGACACAGTGATATAGACATTTTTTGTGCAATTTGGGTTCATTTAGTTCAGTATTGTACGTTTTGCTCATTAAACTTATTATTCTTCGTAGTGGTCTGCTGTTTGTAATCTTTATTCTGGAATGGGTTTGTATCTCGCGTACAAAACATAACCCGGAATTCAAATTGAAGATGTAGAATGAATATAGTAATTTATTTTTGCATTATTTATACAATTTGTGTGCTTTTCATATAGTACTTTTTTTTTATATCATCATCAACTCTTCTTTTCGTTTATGTAAGTGTCATCAGTTTATTGATTGACTGTAAAAATTAAAAAATGTTTAAAACTACAATAAATGTAATAGTATATATATCCAATAGGCGCATTACTACTAGCGACTCGCTATGAATAGAG